AAACAGAGCAAAGAAAAACTAGCTTTACCATCCCAAACTTCAAAATTGATCAAACTAATCACCAAGAATATGAATTTCGTGCTCAGAGCTATGGAAATGAAGTGAAATTGTGAAATTACTGGAAGAAATGCTAGGGTTTGTTCCGCGAGGAACCCAAAAACTAGGTTTTTCGAGGAACCTCGCGTAACCTAGGTTCTGGGTTCGTCAAGGTTCCTCATGAAACCCAGAACCTAGGTTCTTTGAGGAACCCAGGAACCCAGAACTGGGTTCTTCACGAAACCCAGAACTGGGTTCCTCACGAAACCCAGGAACCTAGAACTGGGTTCTTCACGAAACCCAGAACTGGGTTCCTCACGAAACCCAGATCTGGGTTCCTCAAGGAACCCAGGAACCCAAAACTGAGTTCCTCAAGGAACTGGGTTCCTCAAAAAACCTAGCATGGGTTAGGTTTCGCCACCCAACACCGGGTTGGGTTCCTTGCAGAACCCAAATCTGGGTTCCGCGAAGAACCAAGATGAACAAGAGGAAAACCCAGCATCGGGTTCCATGAGGAATCAAGATGATGAAGAGGAAGAGGATGGTGAAGATGATGAGAAGGATAGTGAAGAGAATGGTGAAGAAGATAAACGGTGAGATGATGATGCCGAGGATTAGGCTGAGGATGAGGAGAAAGAAGAAGTTGATGAAATGAAAGTTAATTAACTTAATTATTTTAAAATTCATTTAATTTATAAATTCATTTAATTTATAAATTCATTTTTATTTGACGTGGAAAAAAGAAAACAATTTGTTTTTTTTTTCATGTGGACCCCACAAAAGTGAATCTGAAGAGTGGGGAAGCAATCTGACGTGTAAAAATGCCACGGTGTCAAAAATGTCCTTGCTGGATTTACATGTCATTAAAAATGAAAAAAGCCGGTGATTTTGTGGCATCTTAACAAGCCACCTGGCGTTTAACTGACGGAAGGATCATTTTGGTACCAAAAATGAAAGTTGAAGGATAATTTTGGTACTTTTTAAAGCTGAGGGACAATTTTGGTACCAAAGTGATAAATTGAGGGACTAAAATGGTACTTAAACCAAAAATTTATAACTAAAATTATATGTTAGTACTGTTAAATTAAATATAAATTTGTTCTTCTTCAATTTTAAAAGGTAAGAAGTCGGTATCTGCATCTCAACAGCTTAAACTGTTCTTGAAGCTATGGGTGTGAGGTCTACCTTGTGCTTTTAGGTTTAAAACTCTTTCAACAAACTTCACCAAACTTCACCAAACATGCACTTATTAGTAAGGGAGTGCTCCTAGCATTGCTCAATAGGTTAATTTCAACAATAAAGCCATAGGATTATTGCCATATTTTTAATAATTAATGTTACTCTTTTTAGTTTAATTAAGTATTAAAAAAAATAAAATTTAAGATGCTCTTTCATTAAAAATGTGATATTTAATTCTAACTACCTAATAAATGAAATTTAAGTGAAATTTATATTATATCTCAACGTTATCTAGTTTTGATTAAATATCTTAACAATTTTTAATGACAAGACATTTTAATTTTTTTGTATCTTTTTATGTATAATACCCTTGCATTATATTTTTTCTTAAACTTTATAAATTTTTTAATTTCATATAGTTACTTAAAATAAAAAGTATATTATTAGTAATAGAAAGTGTGTTAATAATATCACTTAAATAAGGTGATTTAGGGATTGGTTCATTTGAAAATACTGTATGATGTTGTGGTTATAAATTTTTTCTGTTTATTATCT